TGCTGTGTGTACATTAATGAGGAAAAAAAATTAACTTAAATGATTTTAGCAAATGGCTGCAATATAACAGAGTGAAAAATTGAAGGGGGTCTGAATACTTTCCGTACCCACTGTATATATATATATATATATATATATTATTTTTTTTTTCTTTCATTTTTAGCAAAGAGTGACTATTTAATCACAAGAATTTATATATACACAGATATATAAAAATTCTCAAAGATTTCTCCTTTTGTGTTCCATGGAATAAATATGATATATGGTGAGTAAAAAGTGACAGAATGTTACTTTATGTGGGTGTACTAACTCTTTAAAAATGTGACCTTGAGTTGCACTACTATATATAGAATTTAATCAAAATTCTCAGGGGAAAAAAAGTCCTGAGCTCAGGTCTTAAAGACATTGAATTCATGTCCCTTTTGCCCAAAAGTGTTTAAAAAAATTACTAAAAAGTAGAGATATGATTTGGTTTTACTCTGATCTGACTGATACATCCAAGCTGGAATTGACGGCAACTATAAATGCATAGATGGTTATATTTAATGTAGATGTTATACATATTGAGAGTTTTTGAGACTGTTAATCCACCGGCTGGCCTGTAGTAAACATAAAATGACCGAGGGGCTCAAAAATGCATATCTTATGAACAAAATATCTATTCTATTGGAAAAAATACTGTATTTTCCATTGCTTTCCATTGAAATCCTGTATTTTCAGAATAATTGAAACGAGAAGAAAGCTGTGTTATGGTTATCCCACAGAAGAGAAAACGACGCCCGTGTTAGATCTACATCTACCCATGCGGCAGACATGTTAGCCAAGTGTTACGCCACCCATGGGCAGCAGTGAGACATTGCATCTCAGATGTTTATCCTGCATTTTTGCTCAACACGCCATTGGTTGGTGAGATCTGGCACAGAGAGAGCCCACTCACCCTCTCATCTTTCTGAACCAGGATAAACGAGTGAAACGACAGACAGTTATATTGATGCGATGCAATGGACAAGCAGCAGCAGATCACAGGACCACTAGCAGGTCCGTGTGAAGAGTCAGACATGCAGCGGTGCAGAGGAAGAGAGAAGGGGAGCGGGGTGATGGGGGGAGGAGGGTGGTTTCTCTCAGCGGAGTACAAGGTCTGCAATCAGGGCACAATGCTGGACCTAGAGATGCTGCCATTAACTCACCCTTAAAAATCTGTCATTGTGTGATCTCTCATCATGATTGCTGTAAACAGTGACCACTCTAAGAGTGGATTTCCTTCCCTTTCTAGATCTTACAAAGTTTGTTACATTATATATTATCTTTCCTTCAAGTCAGAAAACATCTAATCTGAACACTCTCTATTCCAGTGAAAAAAAAACTCACAAAATGGAATGCAACCACCTACGCCACTATTATTGATACACCTAATTACTCATTTTAACCTAATTACTTTTTTAAAAATTTGATCAATTAAAAATGTATAAATTTAAAACAAAAAAATTATTTAGTAATTTAATTATTAAATTGAGTTATTTAATAAAAAGAATGTCTGTAGTTCTATTTTTTGACAAAATCAATCAATAAATTAAATTAGAATACAATTATGGATTAATCAATGTAATTAATATTAATTTGTTAATACGGTTAATTAAATTCTAATTTTACAAATTCAATCACTTATATATTAATAAATGAAACTGCATAATAAATAAAATTTAATAAAATAATCATAATTTAAAAAACAATAATTACATTTCTGCTATCCTAATTTAATGTCTCTAGTTCTTTTCTTTTTTTTTTACAAAATCAACCAATAAGACAATCACTAAAATTTAAAAATATGCATTAATCATTGCAATGAATATTAATATTTAGGTATAAATGATTATTAAATGTTTAATATTTTTAGTTAAATTCAAATTTATTTTTTAAAAATTCAATCAAATGACCAATTAAGCTAAATATAATTACAAATTAATCAAATAAAATAATAATTAAATTTCTGCTATTTTCTGCTACATTCTTTTTTACTTAAAAAAATTAAATCAACATAAAAAAATTATAAATTAAAAATAATTTTTAAATGACTGTTTAATAAAAAAATAAAATGAATGCAAAATTTTCAGTCATTTTCAAAACATACCTGTAATTATTAATACGTAACGTAAGAAATATTCCTTGGAACCATAACATATCACTTTAAATATTAAATAATAAAATAATTTAAATAATAAATAAATGACAAACAAATGCAATTCTAATATATAAAAAAAAAAACTCAACCAAATAAAATTATTTAATTAAAAATTCAATTAAAATAGTTAAGAATTAAATAAAAAAAGTAAAAAATCATTTTATAGACTCAAACTCGCAACCTCTCATACATAAAACAAGAAATATTCCTCTGAACAGTAACATATGACTGATAGGACCTAGAAACCTAGAATCACCTCTAGCCAAATTCCAAAAGGTCCAAATGAAATTACACAACCCTGTCGCTTGCATTTATGTTTAAAACAAATGGCCTGCGTGTATGTATGTGTCAGGGGAAAAGGTCTGCCTCCATATTGATTCTTGTGTGGGATCAAAGAGTGCGTCTACAGGCTAGACTATCTGCTCACCTAGAGACACGACCGTGAGGATGGATAGCCAGTCGGAAAGAGGCTGACAGACTCAAGTCAGCCACAGCGCCAAGCTTCACCATTAACAGAGCATCAAAAGCAGCGCTCGCAACAAAAAACACCAGCTTTTCCCCCCCGTTTCCCGGTTACCCTGTTGCTATGGTAACAACTGTTGCCTCAGTAACCACACTCCTATCTGAGAGCAGACCTTTTCAGCGGAGAAAATGTTCCCATCTCTCTGTGCGCTGTGCACCCCCTCCCTTACCAAAAGGTTACGCTCGGGGTCCATGCAGAGAGGGGAAGGAGGGGGAGAGGAAAGAGAAAGACGAGAAACACGTTACCTGACAGATAATGTTATCATAGTAAGCCAAAGCACGGGCATGAGGGAGATTAGGAGGGGTGTCGCAAAGTTTCCTTACATTTGGATGGGAGCCCTCAGCGATGGTGGACAACGAGAAATTATCATTGTGGTGCTCCGAGGAAGGACGGTACTTACTGCTGCGAGGATTTTGGGGAAGGGAGGGTCAGGAGGAACAAAAAGAAGAAGTGATGGAATGGGGGGAGAATTGTGGGAAAATGAGAGGTATAGACGAGAAGACAATGGAAAATATAGGGGAAGAATATTACAATGAAGAGGTTATGAAGGACAGAGGAGAGAGAGAGAGAGAAAAGAGCATTAGTGCAATTCTAGGACTGCTTTGGAGGCAGAAGTTTAGACATACATTTATACAGACATACAACCTGTGATGCAACATATCAGATGACAAATTCAATAAATATGTCACTCTTTTCAAAATATTAGAAGTTCTAGACACATTTCATAACCATTAAATTACCTCAAATGAATTAATAAATTAAGTTTCCTGGGCTTTATGTGTAGATCGCAATTCCTTCCCATTTCCTTCTCGACATTCCATTACCCATTACTCTTCCTCTTCTCAAATATATATGAAATGTATATATAATAACAATAATAAAATTATATATAAAATATATGTATATATATATAATAACAATAATACACAGACGAAGAGCTAACCGTGCTTGGCCTTTCCAATGTGATTACATAATATGTGAAGACACGCATGCGCAAGTAGAGCTAGAGCAAGACAAGTATTTGTGGTTAAAATATATATAAATGTTTATTGTTTTAAGAAAATGACCGATGGTTTGGCTAGATAAGACCCTTATTCCTCAGCTGGGATCGTGTAGAGCCCTTTGAAGCTGCATTGAAACTGCAATTTGGACCTTCAACCGTTTGGTAACTGTTGAAGTCCACTACATGGACAAAAATTCCTGGGATGTTTTCCTCAAAAAACGTAATTTCTTTTCGACTGAAGAAAGAAAGACATGAACATCTTGGATGACATGGGGGTGAGTAAACTATCAGGAAATTTTTATTTGAACGTGAACTAATCCTTTAATGACATCAAAACATTTTTAATGTATCAAATTAAAGATGTATAACTATTAGGTATTGCTGTGACCTCAGTGTTTACAATTGGAATTTTTTTTTTTAAATAACACCTGATAAGATTTACTTACAATATCTGCCAATTCAAATCAATTTAACAATTTAATGGAAAAAAAGAAAAGAAAATGAAAGGTGTTTTAAGGACTTACACTAATGTTCAAAGGTTTTTTTTTTTGAAAGAAACTATTATTTATATTCAGCAAGGACAAATTAAATTGATCAAAAGTAAAGACGTTTACATCGTTCAAATAGAATTTCTACCAAATCAGTATATTAGAATGATTTCTGAAGGATCATGTGACACTGAAGACTGGGGTAATGGCTGCTGAAGATTCAATAAATTTACAATATATTAAAACAGGAAACAGCTATTTTAAATTGTAATAATATTTCACAATCATATTATTATTATTTTGATCGACGAATGCAGCCTTGGTGAGCATTAGAGACAATGTAGGTCTCTGGAAGGTTTCTGTGTTTTGGTGTTGAGTCGCCACATGATATAAATTTGAGTCCTAAAGTGAAGCCAAATGAGAGTTTATAGGATCAGTGTCCTCTCCCTTCTCTGTTTTTGCCGTATTAAGTCCCATCTCTTCCTATACGTTCTGAATATTTGATCTTGTCTAGCGCAGAGTGAATTTGAGCACATTTACTGGTAGCAGATGGAGAGGTGGGCGTCTGATGTATTCACAAGTCTCATCTGTAGCACTGCTGCTTCTAGTTTCTCCTCTCCCTCCATCACTCTCACCCTCTGCAGCCTGTTATAAAACTCTCTGTTTCTCCACTGGCACTTGCTCTCCTCTTTCCCCTCATCATTTTCCTTCTGTTCTTTGAGGAGGGTGTGTGCTGTTTAATTCCTGGCCGTAGCTTCCACCCCCACACCCTCCCGGGTCTCACAGCTGTATGTAGGTCAGCTGGCCCCTCCTCCCCCATCGCACTGCCCTACTTTCAGCTGTAGCTTCCGCGACGTCATGCAGTCTGCCCGTTGCTAGCATAGCATGCTAAGCATTAGCGCGCCATCCACTCACTGCTTTATTTGGTCTCTGCAGCATCCAATCAGCAGCTGTGCTATCGTAACACTAACACTTTTCAGGGAATTAAAAATGCTGCAGATATCACAAAAACATTTTCTGTACTATTATGTTGTTTCTCTCAGTTAAAGCTTTATTTATTTTTTTTTCCCCTGGTGTAAAAATGCAGATTAAAGTTGGGAAGCTGGTCTAGGCTGGTTTAAAGGGACAGTTCACCCCAAAATTTAAATTCTGTCATCATTTAATCACCCTCATGTCGTTCCAAACTGTTTCCCATACTATGGAAGTCAATGGCTACCAGCAACTTGTGTGTTCTTCAAAATATCTTCTTCAACAGAAGAAAGAAATTCATACAGTTTTGGAACAACAAACAACTTAGGGGTGAGTAAATGATGATGGAACTTTCATTTTTGGGTGAACTATCTCTTTAAGCTGGTTTCCCTGCTTGTTCAAGCTGGTTTAAATGTCTAGCTCGCTGATAAGTCCCTAAAATCCATCTAAAACCAGTAAACCAAATCAGTTTGACTAAGCAAGCAGGTTTAAAAAAATGTCTTTAGAAAAAAAAAAACAGGAATATTAATATATTATATTAAATATAAGTGGGGTTTTTTCCACAAAAAAAGAAATAATACTTTATTCAGCAAGGAAGACATTTACAAAAATATAAAAAGTTTTCTGTTTCAAACAAACTTTGTTCGTCGATTTTTCTATTCATCAAAAAATCCTGAAAAAAAATATTAAAGCAGCACAATCTCCGCAAAAATATTAAGCTGCACAACATAATAATTGAGCATAATAACTGAAAAATTGAGCACCAAATCAGAATATTAGAATGATTTCTGAAGGATCATGTCACTAAAGGCACTGGAGTAATGATGCTGAAAATTCAGCTTTGAAATCATAAGAATAAGTTACATTTTAAAATATATTAAAATACAAAACACTTATTTTAAATTTGAATATTTCACAATATTATTATTTTTACTGTATTTTGATAAAATAAATACAAGACTTTCAAAAACATGAAAAAATCATAACTATTCAAAAATGTTGAGGTGTACAGGTATATGCTTGAGGAAGGTCATGAGACTAAACTGTTGCTATTTAAATAACTACACAAATATTTGGCAAGCTCCACTGTGTGCTATTTATTTGTTCCTAGTTCCACCACAAAACATGAGCTTTTAAGGCGTTTAATCCATAAACCCTTCTACTTTGTCTTACTTTCTCTAAAAATGTGTACCACACAGGCCAGAGTCTCACCTGCGCTTGCGCAACTTGTTATTCTCAGTCTTGAGCACGTGCAGCTTCTTGGCAAAGCAAACGACGACCATGAAGAGCAGGAGCACCATGAAAGCGGAGGCCCCGATGGTGATGCACATTACCTGGAACTCCGTGATGACCGACTCACAGCGGGCACCCTTGTGCCACATGTAGTCCTGGATGTTGCACCTGCAAGACAAAGAAAGGAAAATATATGAAAGCCTTTTCCACCAAACTAGTAGCAGATTTTGCTGCAATGGTCAGAAGGTCATTTATACAATTAATACAATTCATAACAATCCATTCAAATAAAGAAATAATGAAATGCAACATACACAGGACAGGTTTGATCTAATTCGTTTTGTGTGATATCAATTTGTTTTGCATCAGTCTTGGTAATATTAAGTTGCTGTTCAGAAAACGTTACTCTTTGCCAACATTATCCCATCCATTGGCCTCTGATATTAGCAGTCCCTGGTTCAAGACCAGCAGGATTTAGGGGCCAGTACAGAGCCAAATTTTCTGCCTTTTCTCCAACGAAAACAACCTGGAGCAACATGGCTCTTACTGGGATTCGTTTACCAGACAATATCACACCAACACACACTCACTTTTGAAATGAGCCACACTTTAAACACACCATATTAAGACACACGGGAGGCACAGTATTTTAATCCTCACTGGCTTTGATTCCCCATGTAGTCTCTGGTTCCATATGAATTATTCATGGGGACTCAGTGCATCTCCTACACCAAGGGTGAGTTAAAATTCACTGCCTTCAGCATTTTTACCATTCATTTTAGCAGACACCTGGGTGAATGACAAGTTCACTGCCTTTATCTTACCGTAAGTTTCTTCTATACTGAATTAGACTGGATTTAACACCAGTTCTGAACTAAGTTCAGTGAACTAACTTCGAAGACTGTCAGGATTTGCCATATTAAAACTCTGCGACATTTGCCTTGAAAATCCAATAAGGCAATCCAATGTCACAATATTATGTTTAAGTGTGTATGAAAATGCTGCTACCAAAAAAGGTTGCAGAATGCAGAGGTTTGCATCTGGGTTTTGTCAGGAATAAAAGCACATGGGCATCTGCATCCTCTCCATTAGCTCCCTAAACTCTTCCTCCTCCATTGTGTGCACATAACAAACAGCTTTGAGGACAGACCACTAAACAACATCAAAGGTGCAGAATGAAGGATGAAATCGGATATATTAATTAATAAATGAATAGAATATTTTATAAATCATATTAAAAAACATATTACATATTTATATATATATAAGAAAATATGTAATTTTAT